AACAAACTGTGACCACCTGTTTCTCTCTCTACCACAGAGAAAGTCAAGTCACTTTCGCTAGTGTTTGGTTAGTGAAAAGTGCTAAGACACACAAGGATTTCAATTTTTATTAGAATGTTGTATTTTTTAATTAATTGATTTATTGTTGGCTCTGCTGGGTCTTTGTTGCCGCCCAGGCTTTTCTCTGGTTGCAGTGAATGGAGGCTACTCTCTGGTTGCAGAGCATGGGCTTCTCATTTCGGTGGCTTCTCTTCTTGCAGAGTACAGTCTGAGTACAGTCTGAGTACAGTCTGAGTACAGTCTGAATGGCTGTGGTGCACAGGCTTAGCGACCTCGTGGCATGTGGGATCTTCCCAGATCAAGGATTGAGCTCATGTCTCCTACACTGGCAGGTGGATTCTTTACCACTGAACCACTAGGGAAAACCTGGAGTGTTGTATTTTTAACCAAATTGTCTCCCAGAGTTTGCCTCCCCAGTGTTCACTCTACCCTGTCAGGTTCCAGATGGGTTGGTATGGAACTTGGACCCTCCACCACACTTCTCCCAGACAGATTTGTGAATTTCCACCTTCTAGCCTCTGGGTTCCCCTTCTCTGATATCAATCTCTTGGCACTCTGCCATCCCCTTCTTCCCCTTCTCTGGTACTCTTCCAACTTCTCTTTCTATTCAGCTGTGTCTTTTCAGTATGTTCCAGCTGCTTCTGTACAGAAGGAAGCAAAGTTGCTTGCACCTTCTGATCAGGTGTAAACACCAACTTTCACCACAAGCGCCAGGCATCGTGGAGGGGGAGGAGTTTGTGGCTGGTAACACATACTGCTTGGGGACATCAAAAGAAAGGTCCAGAAGTGGGGAGACAGCTTTTTGCAACATGAGTCAAATGAGTACTTACACAAAGTGTGCAAGGAGCTCTTTTTAGAGAGTAGGGTGCACATTTGAATCTCCAGAACTTCTTCATTCAAAGAAGGAGGAGAATTTACTTTAGTCACATGCATGAAATGATGGGGGAAAGTTAGCTTCAGAGCAATTTTGGGAGAGAAGACAAGAAGAAAACATGTTGTTGTTTTTTTTTTAGATGAGGTGTACAGGCAGCTGAGTCTGTCTCTTCAAGGTGCAAGGAAGAGATAATCATCACTGCCTAATGATACTTTTGCAGGCATGCTCAGTCATTTCCGACTCTTTGCAACACCATGGACTATAACCTGCCATGCTCCTCTCATCCATGGAATTTTTCAGACAAGAATATTGAAGTGGGCTGCCATTTCCTTCTCCAGGGGATCTTTCCCACCCAGGGGTAGAACCCATGTCTCCTGCATTGGCAGGCAGATTTTTTGCCACTGAACCACCTGGGAAGCCCAATGATATTTTTACCAAATCTTTTATTTCCAACATTAAATATTCAGTTCAAATAAATTTTTTTTTTTTTTGCCAAGCAGCAAGGCTTGCAGGATCTTAGTTGCCCACCCAGGATTGAACCCTGGGCCTTGGCAGTGGACTTGGACTCCCATGAATTCCCTCAAATAACTCTTTTTCATCAGAATAGAAGTTCCTTGCTTAAGAAGGTTGTCATTTGTGTTCCCCAGGAAAGGAATAATATTAATACCATAAAGAGTAAGATGTTTTCAAATCTTTTTCTGGAGTGGACCAAGGATAGTTTTGGAGTATAGCTGATTAACAATGTTGTGATAGTTTTAGTTGTTCTGGGGACTCAACCATACATATACATGTATCCACTCTCCCCTAAACTCCTCTCCCATCCAGGCGGCCAAATAACTTTGAGCAGAGTTCCCTGTGCTATACAGTGGGTCCTTGTTGGTTATCCATTTTAAATATAGCATTGTGTACATGTCCATCCCAAACTCCATAACTATTTCTTTGTCCAATCCTTGCCCCTGGCAAGCATAGGTTTGTTCTCTAAGACTGAGTCCGTTTCCATTTTGTAAGTTCATTTGTACCATTTCATTTTAGATTCCACATATAAGGGATGTCATACCATATTTCTCCTCTCTCTGACTTATTTCACTTAGCATGGCAATCTCTAGGTCCATCCATGTTGCTGCAAATGGCACCATCCTTTTTAATGGCTGAGTAATATTCCATTGTATATATGTACCACATCTTTATCCATTCCTCTGTTGGATGGGCATTTAGGTCCTTCCATATCCTGGCTATTTTAAATAGTGCTGAAATGAACATTAGGATGCATTTATCTTTTTGAATTAAGGTTTTCTCCGGATTATGCCCACTAGTACGATTGCTGGATCATATGGTAGTTCTATTTTTAGTTTTTTAAGGAACCTCCACACTCTCCTGGCTGTACCAAAAAGGTGAATGGAATTTTGTAAATGGGGAAGAGAGGAAAGAAAACTGGAACCAAAACTAACCTCCCCAAACTGCCCTGAGACTGTTCTTAGAGCAAAGTTATGAGAGAAAACAAGCCTTTGTAATGGGGAGGAAAGCAAGGATGGAAAGTGAGTTAAAAGTGTTGCTTTCCACGTGGAGAAGACAAAAAGCAGAGGACATCGGAATAGTGAGAAATGGCAAAGCACAGGAATTTGACGCAAAAGAAAAGGAAGGGTAAAACATGAAACTGCATCCAGTGAGACCTAAGGGGACAGAAAAGAAAGAACTTTCTGGAGAACGGAGGAGTGGGCCACATCTGGGGGAGAGAAAACAAGTTTGTAATGTTGGAGAACCAGTGGTCAAGGAAGGAGAAGATGGAGAAGAGCAGAACAGAGATATGTGAGTGATGCTGCTACTCAGCTTGCAAAGGGAGATAAAAGCCCAAGTTCAGGTCTTCTTTCTAAACATAGAAAAGGGAAATAGAAGACCACTTTCCTCTGAGAAGGAAGTTGGAAAATTTTTTATTTTAAATGTTTAATTTGCAATATATACAATACTGGGATTGGGGTGCTTTCTGCTGGGAATGCCACCTCTCAGTCAATGTGCAGTAAGGGTCAAGTTCATGAAGAGATTTTTTAGTGGTTCTCAGAAACGCGGTGCCTTCTGAAACCTCTCTCCATATCCATGGACTCTGTCGGTCTGTATACAAGTGCATCTGCTTTGAGAGACTGGGGCTAGGATTCTGTGCTTCAAGGGTTTTTCCCTAGTATTTCTCTTTAATCAGTTGTGCAAATCCTATTGAACTAAGCGGCTACTTAACAGCAAGACTCTAGTCCTCATTTCGGTAGTTCTTCTGCAAAGTGGAAGGAATCCAACCCTTACTGAGTGGACTTCTGCCACATAGAACTGTCTCAAAGTCCCTTAGTTTCTATCTGAATTCCACTGGCTTTTGGGGAAAGGTACTGTTATTTAGATGAAAGCATCCGTGATATTTAATTTGTCACTCATAATATGGTTTTGTTCTATGACGTTGTGGACTGTTGTCCTAATATAGAGTATTTCTCTTCTTGTAAAGCAGACGCAATAGAATTAGACTGCATCTAGGCTTCAAGAAATATGAATAATGCATTTAAATCTCATCATTGAATGAAAAGAAACCTTTGAATGAACATAAATTTCTTTCATATTAAAGATGGGGAAATTAAACCAGGGCTTAATAATGATGGAAACTGACTGATCAGAGTTTACCTAGTTCATGTCAGAACCAGGATAAGAATGCAGGTTGTCTGAATATTGTGTTTCCTTTACTCTTTTCTGTAAATCATCAAGTATACTTTATACTTGCCTATTAAATTTCAGGTCCAAATTCCCTTCTTCAGCCCCCAATCAGACTATTCCAGAATCCATCTGCACGATAATCTATAGATTATAGTGATGAGGATGAAAGAAGTAGCAACAGCTCCAGGAACTTCAGAGCAATGATCCGGTTTCACGTTAAGCTAATTAACTTGTGGAGGTAGAGGTGGGCTAACCCCATTACTACCACAAAGAGTAACTATGTAAGACTTTCTAGCTCTGCTTGGTGATTGAATAACTAACCGCATGCAGAACTGAACACCTTTATACCTGGTGTAGTCCTCTCTCTAGCCTCAGCTTCTGAACTTAGCAGAAGACAACATTTTGGGTCTTTATAGTAGGACTGAATAACTCTTGTCTCTGGAGTACTTTCTAGAACTATAAATTTACCATAATCCTTCTCATAAAGAGAGCATATAAAGAAACTGAGCCCCAAAGAATCGATGCTTTCTAACTGTGGTGCTGGAGAAGACTCTTGAAGAGTCCCCTGGACTGCAAGGAGATCAAACCAGTCAATCCTAAAGGAAATCAACCCTGAATATTTATTGGAAGGGCCGATGCTGAAGCTAAAGCTCCAACACTTTGGCCACCTGATGCAAAGAGCTGACTCACTGGAAAAAAACCCTGTTGCTGGGAAAGATTGAAGGCAGGAGGAGAAGGGGACAACAGAGGATGAGCTGGTTGGATGGCATTACTGACTTGATGGACGAGTTTGAGCAAACTCTAGGAGATAGTGAAGGACAGGGAAGCATGATGTGCTGCAGTCCATGGATGTAACTGAGTGACTGAACAACAGAAAGAGGACATACCAGGCAAAAGTTAGGACAATCCAGCAAAATAGTAGGAGTAAAGAGGACCATGTAGGTTCATGGAGAGTTAATCTAGGAAATGCTTGAATGTGAAATATTGACGGTGGTCTATGGTTAGTTGAGATTGACAGTGAGAACATCTTCCCCCCTAAGATCTATCTCAGATTCAGTAGTTAATATTTTTAATAATTTTATTCAAGTTTATTTTCTCTTGACATTGTACACAGAATGTTTCTATCTAAGTGACACGTTAATCATTTATCTACCAGGTCTATGATACGGAGAAGCAGCAAAACTATGCAATACTACAAAAACTATATGTTACGTACTGAAAAATGACAGAATCGGGTGAAAAAAAAATGAAGTTAGGGGCAAAAGCTAGACGTTGCAAAGGGATTGGTTTAAGAACTACTTATGTCTATGGGTTGGCTGACAATGGTTGGACAAGGAGTTCCCTCCCACCCACACATTCTTTCCTTCCTCTTCCTTGTTGATTACAGACCACTGGGTCCCTGCAAATTCACATTGTCACAGGGAGGAAGGCGGAAGTAGTTGGAGCGTCGGAGTCGCCTTGGGGGCAGACCAGCCTTCTGACGGCAGAGTTCATCTGGAAGAGAAGCAGAGCATGCTGAGATGAGAATGTAGGAAGGTGGCCAGGGCTCCAAGAAGAGAAAAGAGGAGACTGCAGGGTGGTGCAGTGAAAGGGTTGAATAGAAACAGATCAGGATTAGAACCTGGGATCTGCCACTTACTAGTTATTTACTCCCTACCAGAAAGATTCTTGACTTTTTTGAACCTCACCATCCTTTTCTGCAAAACAAGCATTGAAATACCTGCTTCAAAAATGTAGTTGAAAATGAAAGGATGGATGCAAAAGAACTGAGCACAGGTGGTCACTAAATTTTAATTTCCCTTTCACACCTTGCTCCCAATTCTTCTAATTGTGGACTTATTAAACAGCAGGAAAAAAAAAATGAGGTCCAGTCATTCAAAAGTGTTTACTGTGTGCAAATGGCTAACTTTAGCAAGTCCCCCGAGACACTTGAAAGTGCCTCGAGTCCCAGATACTCATCCTCAGTGTCAAGGTGCTGGCCTTGCAGGTGGCTTGCAAAGCCAATGAAGGCAAGGGGCAAGTTTCCTTCTGCAAAGTTAAGTACAGCTCTTACTCAGAGGGGGTTGGTGCAAGGCCGGCAGCTGAGTCAGAGTGGCTTTTGCATGTGGTGACTTTGACGACGGTAGCCATCACCTGGGCCAGGGGAAGGTGAGAAATAGTGTTTTCACACCATGCATAGTGTCTAACCACACATCTGGACTCTTGTAATTGTGTGTTTTTTTTTTTAATAAAATCTTTCTACCTTGCTCTACTTTTGAAATAAGCAAGGGGAATGGTTCTTGGAACTGGTGGACTATTGAAAAGGTAGCCAGTGTTCAGCCAATGTCCAAGTGATTTTTTTATGTATCCAAATACATAAAGCCACTAATGTGGCTTTTTCTAAGTTAGTGGCTTTTCCCCTCCTGGAGTTATGAACATGGCTGCAGGACTTGTAGAGACTTGTTATTTTTAATAGTTGACTTGGCCTTTCATGTCTGATGAATGATCTTCAAAGTAGCAGAGCATCTGAAAGCACTATCTATACATAAGAGAAGATAGGGGTTTCTGTCTAGTTGGAAAGAGATTTAGTGGTACTTTCTTAAGGGTTATCAATTTTTTAATGTTAACAATGGAAGATAATTGCTTTATGATGCTGTGTTTCTGTTGTACAACAAAGTGAATCAGCTATGTATTGTTTAGTCACTCAGTCGTGTCCAACGCTTTGTGACCCCATGGACTGTAGCCTGCCAAGCTACTCTGTCCATGGGATTTCCCAGGCGAGAATACTGGAGTGGGTTGCCATTTCCTTCTCCAGGGGATCTTCCCAACCTAGGGATCAAACCCAAATCCTCTGCATTGGCAGGTGGGTTCTTTATGGCTGAGCCACCAAGGAAGCCCAATACGCATTCATATTTCCCCTCCCTCTTCTGCCTCCCTCCCTCGTCTCATTCCACCCCTCTAGGTCATTACAGAACACAGAGCTGAGCTTCCAGTGCTGCATAGCCGCTCTGAGGGTTATGAATATACCAAACATGGTGCTTTCTTTATATTGTTTATTGCGGTAACTAGGTGGAGCAGGAGCTGATAGAAGTCTAAAGAGAGCAGTCTAAAGCCCTCCTTCAAAGCCAAATCTTGGATCTGTTAGCACCTTGCCCCAGTTATCAGTTGCTCTCATTATTGTTCCTTCCCATCAAAGCTGGTCTTACCTTTCATAGCTTCGTGTTCTTTACAGACAAGACGGGAGCAGATCTCATTGTTGATGACATACATACGCCGTGAACTGCCATAGATCCAATGTCATGGTGCAAGAAGGAGATGGAAAAAGCACTGAGAGGGAGAACTAGCCTCGGCCTGAGATGCCTCTTTCAACTCCTGGAAATACCTGGATTTCCTTAAGTATTTCAGACTTCCCACTCCCACCCCCACCCAAGTAGTGTAGAAGATAGAATGGTATCGATCACTCTTGTTGGTTACAACTTTGCACATTCCACCTAGACTCAGGCTTTAATACTTCCCACACTACTCCCTACTATTTTCTACCTTCACACTTGCATCTTCAGCTCCAGCCTATTTCTCGAATGTGATAAATTTGATAAACCAGTGTTTCCCTCATGACCATCCTTCCTCCAGTACTCACCATCCTTGCCTTCAGCATCTACATTTGTTAAACTGTTCCGTGTGCCTCAATCCAGATTCAAGGTTCTTTTTTTCTTCTATCATAATACACTTCCCATTACTTATTTCTCAGGTCTTAAGTCTATTTGCTTTTTCTTTTTTTTAAGTATTTTTATTTTTTTTTTAAGTTTTTTATTTTGTCTTGGGTAGAGCTCATCAATAATGTTGTGATAGTTTCAAGTGAATAGCAAGGAGACTCAACCATAATATACACGTATCCATTCTCCCCCATGACATTGAGCAGAGTTCCTTGTGCTATACCTTAGGTCCTTGTTGGTTCTCCATTTTAAATACAGCAGTGTGTACATATCCACTCCAAACTCCCTAACTATTCCTCACCTGTATGCTTCCTCAGCAACTGTAACTTCATTCTTTAAGTCTGTGCAGACTCTAGGTTCTAATTGGCACCTTCAGAATAGCTAAAAGGGTGATGCTTAAAACTTCTGCCCCGCTAGAGACTGAAATTCCAGAGTGGGTGCTCATTAAATAGTTACTGGCATGAAAGCGCTATCATGGGTGGCTCTCTGGGTGATATGGGACCCTTTACCTGGTGAAGCATATCTGATGGAGGCATTGCTTGATTGGCCGATGCACGGAGTAGAGTCTTGTGCAGGCGAATTTCTCATCCCGGCACTCTGAAGATACCCACCGTAAAAAACACATGGTTAGAGGAATGGAGGAGGGGAGAGAGAGCTGGGAAAATCTACAAAGTGGTCTCTACAGAGGATCACTGTAAGCTGGGGTATGTTCTTCCTGTAACCAATACGAAGCAATAAAGATGCTGTTTAGTTATGTCCATCTCCTTGTGACCCCGTGGACTGTAGCCTGCTAGGCTCCTCTGTCCATGGGGATTCTCCAGGCAAGAATACTGGAGTGGGTTGCCATGCCCTCCTCCAGGGGATCTTCATGTCATTGAACCCAGGTCTTCCACATTGCAGGCAGGTTCTTGGCCAGCTGAGACACCAGGGAAGCCCACAAAGCAATAATAGATCTTGGCTAAACAATGAAATTTAGGTGCTTCCCTACCTGAAAGGAAAGAGAATAAAATAGTCCCTGTGGGCTCTTCTAGGAAAAAGTCCTTCTAGGGTTAGACAGGTGGCAACATGAAAGATGAAATGCTAACAGTCATATTCTGAAGAATTTGAATTCTAAAGTGGGTCACTATTTCTCTGTTCTGGTGGTTTTTAACCCTAGCTGCACAACAGAATTATCAGTATGTTAGAGAAAGCATGACGTCTACAGTAATGTTGAGTCCTTGGTCACTTCCCAACCCACTAACAAACAGATTATGTTCAAAGTTAGTTTACGGAGAGGACTGTTCTGGGACCATGCAATAGTGGTCCCATCTTTTCCCCATGACCTTTAGAACAAGAACTCATAGACAGTGAGGTAGGGTGGGAGGGATACGAAGAAAACTACAAATATTCTTTGAGAAAGAATTAGAAATAAAACTAGAAGATGTACCAAGTATTCTCATAAGAACAGAGATTAGCAATCTTCAGGAAGAAAAAAAAAGCTTAAGAAAAAGACAGGCAAAAGATAATCATACCTGTGGTGGTGTTTTTGTCGTTGAGTGAGGCTGAAAGGTGGAAATTTTATTCAGTTATTACTGGTTCTAGAAGTCACTGCCCTGTAACTATCATGTTGCCTTACTTGAGACCCATGTGTGTGCTCAGTCATGTCCGACTCTTTGTAACCCTGTGGACTGTAGCCCACCAGGCTCCTCTGTCCATGGGATTTTCCAGGAAAGAATACTGGAGTGGGTTGCCATTTCCTTCTCCAGAGGATCTTCCTGACCCAGGGATCGAACCCGCATTTCCTGCATTGAAGGTGGTTTCTTTACCGCTGAGTCACCAGGGAAGCTCCAATCCTAACCTAGGGGCAAGTTAAATACTGGCTGAATTTGTAGAATAGAGAGTAAGTCAAGAAGTAAGATGCATCTTGAAGAAATGGACTAACCATGGGAGTTACCTGTAAAATGGTATCGGAAGGGTTGCTAATAGGATACTATAGGAAGAATGCTAGCCAGGTGATCTCATCTATCCCCGATTTCTTTGTTTCTGCTCCACTGAGTCTTAGGTGCAGCATGCAGGATCTTTGCTGGGGCATGTGGACTCTTAGCTGTGGTATATGGGATCTGCTTCCCCTACTAGGGATCGAACCCAGGCTCTCATGTTTTCAATCGCAGGTTTACATGCTGAGAATTCTCAAACTTCTATGTCTAGCTCAGAACTTTCTTCTAATAAGCTCCAGGTCTACAAATTCAACGCCATTTTGTGGAAGAGCTCATGGATTTTTTTTTTTTTTTAAGATCTTTTCATGTCTCAGACTGCCTTCTTTCCCTTCACCAATTCAAAATGTTCAGTGAATGGTGCTACCATCCACTCAATAGCTACCATCTTTCTAATAGGAAACTGGACTTCTTCTCAACAGTCTCCGCTCCCTAACAGCTCATTTATCTCTCATACCTCTAATAAGATAATTCAGGACATCATATCTTATTGGGCCTAGGCAACAGCGTTCTTGCTGGCTTTCCAATTCAATAACCTGCTTAGAACTTTCCTTTGCATGAACTGTTCTCTGGCTGGTTTTCATTTCCATCCTAAGCCTTTGCCCATATTGTTTTCTTTACCTGAAAGTTCTTCGCCTTTCCATTCATTTGATTCACTTCTATTTGTCTTCCAGGAGTCAACCTAGTCAATGTGCCCTTCAGAAAAGCCTTTCCTAACTCTCAATACTGAATATAGTCAAGGACTCTGAGATTTCACAGGTTCTTTTGCTTGATTATATATTTTTGGTGAAATTGAATAAAATGATCCATTCCTTTGTCTATCTCATCTGTTAGACAAAAGATGTTTAGAAGAAAATAAGTTTTGTTACCTTTACCTTTACCCATTTGATCTTGGAAACTTGGAGAGAAAAATCAAACCTTGGCAATTTGTGTATCAAACCACAGTTCTTGCTTGTTAGGGGATCAAACATGTCATTAATTTAAATCAAACTGTTACAGGTCATTAATTTACATTAAACTGTTGGACGAATGTGCTGCATAACATGTGGTCCTAATTAGGGTTCTTAACCAGCTGTACTGTCTTCCATCATGGGTGTTGCGGGAAGCCCAGAACAGCCCCTGTGGCCCTGAGGTCCCAGATCTGAACTCACCCAGGTCATCGGTGGAAGGCTTGATATCAGCCAGAACTGAAAAGGCACAAAACAGTGATGTGAGAAGGGTTCCGGGTTGACAAAGGGGAAGGCAGAGTGCAGGAGGGAGAATGTGGGTAACAGGAAAAAGCTGAGGCAATGGCTGGATTTCTATAGTGTGTTCAGGGAAGAGAGTTCATTGAAGATATTTTTTTTTTTTTTGAGTATTATTTGGCCTGTTGACATTGAAAGTCTTTATGTATGATTTTTAAAGCTATGAATCCTCTTTTAGAGAGCCAGGAAGCATCTTTTCTTTCATCCCTTTCCCAGTGATAAAAATTATTAGATTAATTCAAGAGCTAGAATAAATACTGTGACTATTAACATGAAACGTGCCATTTTTAAGAGCTGGAGTGAAACCTACCTGTTTCATCTGTAGCGGGATCATTCACCAGATCTGCAAAGATACGACGGATGCAGGGAATGAAAAATGCAAGCAGGAAAAACAGCAAAGGAAAAAGCAGGGTGAGGCATTATGACCCAAAAGGAGGCAAGATTGAAGTGAAGAATGCGGACTCTTGGGGGGAAATATAAGGGACTATTACAGAAGGAAAAGGAAGCGGCAAAAGAATTGGGCATGTTTATAGTCTTGGTGGCATCTAAGATAGACAACAGGGCTCTGAATCCGTCTCTCTCTCTCTTTTTAAATAATATTTATTTATTTGGCTGTGCCAGGTCTTAGTTGCAGCAGGAGGGGTCTAGTTCTCTGAGCAGGGACAGAACTTGGGCACCCTGTATTGGGAGCATGGAGTCTTAGCCACTGGACCACCAGGGACGTCCCTGAAACTCTTTTCTAGTCTTCCTCTTACTTTATATAGACATCATCCTGAATCCTTCTATCCACAGTGTGACAGCAAGGAAATAAAAGAATATCTTACTAGGATCTTCTGTGAATGTTTCTGAAGTCACTGTGGTCACATCATCTGCATAGAAACAATCAGAAAACACTTTCTGAGCATTCTCTGCCCCTCATCCCCCACCCCTGCACTCCCAGGAAGTGAAATTGTCAAGCACAGAAACCATCATGTAGTAAGATCCTAAAAGGATTTATTCTTTGTTTCCCAACCAAAGTCCTTTCCCCTGTAACCCAAACAAATGTCACACTTTTCCTACTTCCGTGAATATACTCAAACAATCCTAACCCTAGACTGTCCCTTTCCCATTGTTCTTATTTAGAGGAATGAATGAACTACATGGCCATCAGATAGTCTACTGATTAAACTTTGGTTCAGCATTGGACTGCAAGAATGACTTCATCCTAACAGATAATAACCGATACAGCTAGTTAGGAATTACTATGGGCTTGCTTTACAGATGGTAAAACTGAGCAGAATAAATAACTCATCCAAGGTCATAGAGCTTATTGATAGTTATTATGGGTTGATGACCTCTTTGTGATACTTATTTAAATGAAAATTTTCTTTCTTAAAAAGACTGATTTTTTTTTTTAATCTTTTGACTGTGCATGTGGGATCTTAGTTCCCCGACTAGAGATTGAACTGGCACCCCCTGAAATGGAAGTGCAGGGTCTTAACCACTGAATCACCAGGGAAGTCCCGACTGTGATTTTTGACATGCATGATTTTGATATTTTTGGATATCAGTCTGATGATACTCTCTACACAGTGCTCACAAGAGGTTACATTGGTCGTTTTCTGATGCTCACAGTGATAAGTGAGATAGAAAGAGAGGAGAGGAGAGGAGATGCTTTGCTATTGATCCTTGGAAAGTGAAGACAAAAGAAGTAAAAAATGCTCCAGTTCTTGAGATGGAAGCTATTTGGATAAACTAAGAAAACTTCATCTGAAACTGTATATAACAGCAACTCCTGAAACAAATAGTCTCTGCTTTAACAAGCAACATAAAAAAGCAGTGTGAAGAACTAGACATTTAACAAACATCCCATTTGTAATGAACATTCACTGTAAAAGGCTTATAGTCATTATTGGTTTTATCCACTAGAGGTCAGCAAATCCACATAATACTTTGCCTTGAGGTCTGCATACAAGTGTCAGATTTACAAACTGGTAAGAATAGCATTTTTATAAAGCATATCAGAGTTACTGATCCTTGTACTAGAAGCAAAACACAAAACATTTTAAAGGAATTTCCCCTGTTTGTTCCTCACCTCATCTTTTATAAAAAAATTCCAGATAGAGAGGCATCAGATGGGACAGGAACATTTTATATCGTTTTAACACTTTTTAATATAAGCTTTCTTCTTTCAGAGCAGATTTTGATAAAAGGAATTCAAGTTTGCTCCAATCCCACAGGGTAAATGAAAAACCACTGACCCGATTCATTCCAGAGGCTGTAAGAAGGGAGTGGATTTTCTCCGGGGTATAGCCAATTCCTGTCCTGTTTCCATTTCTCTCCAGCTACATTCCAGTCCAACCACTCATGGTGGGTGAATGAAGGGTTTGTGAATATCCTAGTTGTGTTCTTAGAATTTCAGGCGGAGTACTAGTTTTCTGTATATCCCTCAGTTTACCCACCTTTTCCATGAGCTACCTCCATAAAAGCTTTAAGGACTTATGAATGTTTCTGAGAAGGAATCTTATGGAGACATTTTCATCAGCTCTTAAAACATTTCTGCTCAAAAAGCATCACAAAGTCATAAAACAGGACTGGACCTTAACCAGCCCAAAGAAAGGAATTTGGATTTTTAGTTGTACTAGTGCTGGGATTTCCCAGGTGGCTCTAGTGACAATCTGCCTGAAATGCAGGAAACATGGGTTCGATCCCTGGGTTGGGAAGATCCCTTGGAAGAGGGAATGGATGCCCATTCCAGTACTCTTGCCTGGGAAATCCAATGGACAGAGGAGCCTGGCGGGCTACAGTCCATAGGGTCACACAGAGTCAGACACGACTGAGCATCTGAGCGCAACACAGCACAGGGTTGAAATAAAATCTGGGTTCAAAACATAAGGATTCAGACCAGAACAGAGAAAAGGTTTTTCTGTATTTTCATTTCTTCTACCAAGATGCACAGTAAGAAATTATATTGTGAGCCAGTATACACATACAAAACTGAAACAAGAGTAGAGATGATACTTTACTTCTGTAGTCTACTTGCAGTGTACTCTATTTTTATTTATCTTCTAAGAAATATTTATTTTGATTGGGCAAGATCTTAGTTGCGGCTTTTAGGATCTTCAGCTGTGGCATGGGGGTTTTGGTTCCCTGACCAGGGATCAAACCTGGGCCCCCCTGCACTGGAACCATGGAGTCTTAGCCACTGGACCACCAGGAAAGTCCCCAGTGTCTCTGTTTTTTATTTTAGTCTATCTTAACTCTTTAAAAGCACCAGTTGTGACCTACTCATTAGATCTTTTGACTCATTAAAGGGTTATATACCTTAGTGCCCTCAAGGGTTGGGAAAAGCAAGAGAAATTATTATATTGGTGCCTAGAGGCAACTGCAGATGTTGAATCGAGCTGAAGGAAGTGGATCTTTGGAAGCCAAAACTTATGGATTCTGTCTCATTGAGCCACGATTTCTCTATAGGACTGGGAAGACTTCTTTTTCTGTCTGCATTTTAGTTTCTCCACTCTTACATAGATAGGAAAATTCTGTTAGGAGTAGTGGCCGTTATCCGAGGGTGTGGAAATGAGATGGACATAGAGAAGATTTGAGTGAAGTTATTTCAGTAGTGAATGAGAAAGTTTTATGAATGGGATGACAGGATTGTTGAATTCAATTCTATTATTTCACACACCTTGGCAGTGCATCTCTGTATGGTATGACAAATTCTTGGAACTCTGACCGTTTGGCTACATTGTCCTGATAAAAACCCCAACAGAGCCCAGATCCATGGGATCACCTACCTCCTCGCTGTCCGCTGACCCCTAGGGGTGTCCGGCCTGCACAAAGGAAGGAGAAGTATGTGAATGCGTCCAGCTCTATACCACATAAAGCTTTTCTGAGATGAACCAGAAAATGATGGTAACATTGCTATACTTTATCTTGCCATGTTTTATTTCTCTTACAGCGCCATACAGAAATAGGCAGGCTGTTAGTGCTACACACAGACACGGAAACACTCAAAGGCAGGAGACCGCTGAGCACAAAGGGGAGCTCTGCTGGGCCCTGACTCAGGAGGCCTCTTGCTCTCAGTCCATCCAGAGGGGTGGGGTCCTGGTGCACCCACAAGGCAGCAGCCCTTCTTGATGGCCTGTCCATCCATCCCCACAGCCAGCCCCTCCAGCTACACTACTGTAAAAGGCCCAAAATGATTATTTCACATTCTGTGTTTGGCAGAATAAGAAAGAAAAAAAAAAAAAATAGGATTTTTTTTTTTTATTTTTTGAAAGACCAAGGTTCACTTTCTGTGGCCAGTCGTCTAGTTCAGTTCTGTGCAATCTATGAAGGTTATTTTCCTTTTGCCTATAGAGGTGGCAACATCTTCTGTGTGCGTGTGAATCTGTTTGTGTGAGCCTGGTGCTTGTGTTTGTTAGGTTAATATATCCCCACTGTTTTCCTTCGCAGTTTAAGACGTGGTGTGTGCTCAGTCACTCAGTCCGATTCTGCGACTCCATGGACTGTAGGCCATCATGCTCCTCTGTCCATGGGATTCTCCAGGCAAGAATGCTGGAGTGGGTTGCCGTGCCCTCCTCCAGGGGATCTTCCCAACCCAGGGATTGAATCTTCATCTCCTATGGCTCCTGCATTTCAGGGCAGGCAGATTACTGCTAAGCCACCAGGGAAACCCCTTCTTCATGGTTTAAACTTGAGTTTCTTGTGAGGTGGTCCTTATGTCTGTGTTCACAATTGTATACATCAGCTTCTCCTTCTGTTTTCTTTTTTGGGGGGAGGGGGGCAGTACTGGGATCTTAGTTCCCTGACCAGGGATTGAACCTGGGCCATGGCAGTGAAAGCACTGTGTCCTAGCCACTGGGCCACCAGGGAATTTCCTCCTTTGGTATTTGTATATTTGTATATACAAATACCAAATATACAAACATATATATATGTTTATATATATATATATATATATATGTTTGTATATTTATGAGAGTGGCCCTCTTGGTTAATATGCATTTGTGTGTATCTTAGTTTTGCTTTAATTCATAACTCTCAGGCTGCTTTCCCCCAGATCTGAGGTCATTTCTAATCACACCCCTCTAAGCACAAAGTCTGTTCTCTTCTCTCTCTCTCATTTTTTGGTCATGTTGCAAGGCTTACAAGACCTTAGCTCCCCAGCCAGGAATTGAACCTAGGCCCTTGGCAGTGAGAGCACAGAGTCCTAACCAGGGGACTGCCAAGGAGTTTCCCGTGTCCTTTTACTTCTCTTTAATGGGCAGTTCTAGAATTAAGTAGCAAGCATCTCTCCTCCCATTCCCCTTCAGCCTCCTTCCATCCTCCCTCTAACATACACCTCCACCCACCTCTGAGGAGCTGACATTTTAGGGAGAAAAGAAAAAAAGGTAGGGACTCACCAGAGGACATGATGAGGGCGGTGAGGAGCAGGAGCACTCTGGGTCCGAAGAACACCATATCTGCCAGGTGAGTGGGGAGAGTGGAGACTGATCAGCACTTCCATTCCAGGCAAGCATATCTGTAGGATGTCGTGCTTCCCCAGGTCTTTCCCGCTCCCCCATAAGTCTCAGACCCTTCCTCTCTTTTCCTCCAACACTTCTTCAAACTCTCTTCTGTGATCATTTGCCATCATTCTCACCCCTTCTTTCCCAGCAAGTCAGGAAGTTCTATACTCTACATGGTTCTTGATGGGCCCCCCATCCACCCCATGGCCTCTTTAAACCCTAGTATCTAAACTTTTGTTTTGATATCTGTAGCTTTTTTTTTTTTTGTAGCTTTTTTTTTTAAATAATATCTGCTCATCTTAGTGTCTCCTCATTTGAATTCCATGGATAACTGGGATGTCTGTTCAATTCTAAATCAGTGACATTCTCCATTGCCTGCTTCCAGTCCTTTCACACACACACACACACACACACACACACACACCCTCCCTCTGTCTATTTAGGGTTTTAGACAATCCAAGCCACTCACTGTTGATGGTTCTCTGCTCTTTCCACCGAGTCCTTTGGTTTTTGAATGTGTCTCTCTCCTTCTCTGTTCCACTTTGGCTGGGGAGTAAGATGAACAGGGCCACTCCCTGGAAAGGACTTCGAATTTGGACTACTCTGAAACAATGAGATGAGGGAGAGCGAGTAAGAGAGAGAGAGAGGGAGGGAGGGAGGGCGGGAGGGAGAAAGGCAGGCTAGAGGAGTCTGATTCAGTGCTACTATGATGCTGGGAGGAGAAGGGCGATGGGGCTTTGCAGTCACTCACACCCTCGTTCCAAATGTTATGATCACACTGCTGAGAGATGGTGCTGCTCCCTTGACGGGTTGGCTCAAGCTCATATATGCCTTCTTCCATGAACCACCATCTGGCCCCAGTCTCACTTTGTCCTTGGGTTACTTTTTACCTAAAGAGAGGAAAAAAAAACAAACCCGCAGAATCCGTTTCTGTGTCTCTGGCTGTCTTCCATATTTGAATGATTCTTCCAATCCCCTTTCTCACTTTTGTCTTTTTAGAATTCTACTCCCCCAGATTTCTTTGTTTCTTTGTGTCTCTCTTTTTTCTTTTCCTCTTTTCTTGACCCGCACATTTAGCCTCCCCCCGCCCACCCCCATAATCTCATTTATTGTCACATCCAAGCAAACACAGACACCACATGAGTTTTGTCCAGGAGAAGGGCTGACTGTCTTAGGGTTAGAGAAAGTTAAGAAATATAGGACCCTCATCCTTTTGTAATATGGAGGAGCTCCATGAGAGAAGACGCCAGCCTTAGGCTGTCTTTTGGTTTTGTTTAAACTTATGTTAAGAATCTTGGTTTCTGGACTCTTGAGGACAAAAATGCCATCAGAAGGCCAACGAAAATTGGGAGCCAAGTTCATTCTGCTTGCTTTATTTCCCATCATATCACGTAATATGTATATAACACTTTCTCTGATCCAGGAGCTATAAAAACTTTGTCTTTGCTCTTATTCCTAGAAACTCTCGTGCTTAGACCATTACAACATCTCCACTTCAGCAAGAATAAACTTGAATGACAGAAATGCAAATCTGAAAAATGGTTGACTTTAGGTGCACTAGCAGGGTGTCAAATTCAAGTTATCTGTTAGGTTCCTTAGTCTATATTCCGCTCTCTGGACAGCTAAATTAGAGAAGCATACTGGTAGACCCCGGTGGCTCAGTGGTAAAGAATTTGCCTGCCAATGCAAGAGACTCAGGTTTGATCCTTGGGTTGGAAAGATCCCCTGGAGAAGGAAATGACAACCCACTCCAGTATTCTTGCCTGGAGAATCCCATGGACATAAGATCCTGGTGGGCATCAGTTCCATGGGGTCACGAAGAGTTGGATGCAACTGAGCAACTGAGCACCAGCATCAGCATAGGTAGACATAGCAGGTAACGTTAATGGATTACAGACCAGAAGAAAGAAGAGAATTAATGATGTAAGGGAAGAAGGGAGGAAGGAAGGAGGGAAGGAAGCGGTCATGAGGAAGGAAGAGCTATGGATATAGAAATAAGCAAATAGCACCTCTCTGGTTTCTTTTTGGGAGCTATACCCGCTCCATCTCTGAATGGAGAACAAATCCGTGGACCAAACCCAAGTCTTCCTCACCAGCCTGGTCCAAAACTTGATCTTTTTCCATCTGCTCCATAATGAGAGTGCAGAGGCTGCAAAACAGATGTCTGGGGAGAGGCAGAGCAAAGTAAGGCAGGGTGATGGGTGCGGGGAAGGAACGAAAGCAAACGCAGAACAGAAGGACCGATAGCAGACGCAGAGCAGAACTCAGGCAGGACACAATAGAGGGCCTAGAGCCACACTCATGTTTTCCGTGAAGCACAGACAGATGGAGGAACTGAACTCGGGCCAGTCATTTGGCAGGGCCGGCAATGACCTCAACTTGCTGGCCCAGCCAGAGACTGTAAGACTGCTGTATCTCCGGAAAGCCTCCCCAGGCATTAGGAGGGGGCGCTCTCCTGGGGTCCCAGGGGGCGGGGAGTCTGAAGTTAGAGCAGAGAAAACAGGGACAGAATGTTCAGAGCAAGCAGAGGGAGAAGGCAGGCAGCGAGGGGGACCTCAGAAGGAAGGGAGGGGGGAAGCTGGAAAGAAGGCGGGAACTAGTGAAAGCAGAAACCACCCTGTATTCTTGCCGGTCCTTCAAGGATGTCGTTTATTTGCAAGTACTTGGGTTGATTTCTTATTCATGACAGCCCTGGTGGCCCTTTCAAGCACAGGTCCCTATCTGTTTTCAGAGTCTCCACTTGGACCTTAGAGAGCTTCAGATTTACTTTTCTCTGGTGGTTATCATTATAATTACATCAAGTCAAAGTCAGCACCCATGACCCAGGAATGAGCAACTGCCATCCAGAGACGTGAGCTGAGACTCTCCCTAGGGAAGACCTCCCTGGGTTGCAGTCCTTATACTCATCCAACACAGGCTGGAGCTGCTGCAGGTCCAGACACAGGAAAAGCCTCCGAGGAATTGAATGGCAGGTGCAGAAGTGACTTAAGACAGGCATTCTCGTGTTTAAGAGAGCCAGGAAAATACTGGTTTTCAAAAGACGTCTCCAATCGGTGGACAATGGGTAAAATGCAAAGACAGAGAAGGGAGGTGGAGATGCAAGACAGTGTGCTGGTTTATTCAGCTGTTTACTGGCCTATGAAGAATACACCCATTAGCTGAAGGCCTCTGGGCAAATGTACAGAAACGTTATTACTGCGGTATGATCCAACTAAATTAAATCCAGGGCCTAAACACACACACAGATCCCATAAAAGGGAGGAGAGGAAAGGAGGAGGGTTATATGAGGTGGGGATGGGGGGTGGGGGAGTGATGTGTGTAGCAGAATGAAGCAATAAAGCGGTAACGGCCAAACCTAAGAGATGGACTCAGCGAAGGCCTTCAGAGCCAACAAACGTATGTCCTCTGAGATCCTGGGCTAGGGAGAGCCTCCCTCGTCTTAGTAACCGTGCACCTCTCTAATACTCTGCTCTTTACACCTCCATACCTTGCACTTTCTGTTCCTTCCTTTCTGAAATATCCTTTTCCCAACTCCAGTAAATGCCTGCGAAAGTGTTAGTGTTAGACACTCAGCTGTGTCCTACTCTTTGCAACCCCATGGACTGTAGCCTGCCAGGCACCTCTGTCCATGGAATTCTCCAGACAAGAATACTGAGTGGGTTGCCATTTCCTTTTCCAGGGGACCTTCCTGACCTAGGGATCAACCCTGTGTCTCCTGCATTGCAGGCAGATTCTTTACCATCTGAGCCACCAGGGAAACACAAAAATAAATGCCTATACGCACATCAAAACCCAGCCCCAAGGCTGCTCTTCCCAGAAATCTTTTCCCTGGTCTCCTTTGCTTCTGAAGAGTTAATCAGGGACTTCCCTGGCAGTCCAGTGGTTAAGACTTCACCAATTCAGGGGCTGCGGGTTCAATCCCTGGTCTTGGAGCTAAGATCCCACATGTCTCAAGGCCAAAAAACCAAAACATAAACCAGAAGCAATACTGTACTAAATTCAATAAAGACTTTTAAAAATGGTGCACATAAAAGAAAATTGTAAAAAAAAAAAAAGGTCATTCCCTCTACTGAGCTACCTCTCCATTTTATTTTTATCATTGTGGCATCAGCTTTATTATATTCTTTTGCCTGTCTGTCTTGATTACATTGAGTGGTCCTTACTCCGCTCTGGCTGACATAATAATTAGCACAGAGCAACTCAAAATTTGTTCATTTGAGTTGAGATGAAGACTTGGAAATATTTTGAGATATAAACATTCAAAAACTGAATTAAATGCAAAAAAAAAGTTGAGGGGAAAGTTCTAGAAAAGAAAGTAGTTTGAGAGGATACAGGAGTTCAGCCAGTAAAATAACTAACCAATGCTTTGATCCAAAGGGAGGGGAATAGAGTTAGAGGAAACAGGTACAGAAATCAGGCAACGGTTATTCCAGAAATACAGGAATTTTCGCAGAAGGTCTGTAAAATCAGCGCACGTGAAACACATGTAACTTTTATCAACAATGATGAGTGCTTCTGTCTCATCATTTTCAGATGGTGTGGTGGCCTTGCACTGTTCCTCTCGACCAATCGTGCAAACATAAAATACTTAATCCAGGTTGAGAACTCTGTTAGGTTTCCTGAAATGGAACCCACAACAAATAAATCTGAATAACTGATAAAACTGGCTGTAGACACACAAAACAGGACAAATACCTTGTTCACTGATAGGAAATCTCTATCTTCTCATTCTACTCATCAGGAAAGAAATGAAAACAAAGTCTGGAATTGAAAAATATGAAAGACATCTAGGAAAGTTCAATGTATAATTTTTTTTAACGCAGTGTTCTTATTTATTTTATTTTTTGGTCTTTGTTGCTGCACACAGGCTTTCTCTAGTTACAGCGAGCTGGGCTACTCTCTAGTTGTGATGTGTGGGCTTCTCGTTTTGGCGGCTTCTTTTGTTGCAGAGCATGGGCTCTAGGCGAGGGCTCGGTACTTGTGGAGCAGCCTCCTAGCTGTCCCGTGGCACTGTGGAGTCTTCCCGGACCAGGGATCAAACCTGTGTGCCCTGCATTGGCAGGCGGATTCTTTTTTGTATTGGAGGCTAATTGGTTTACAATATGGCAGGCGGATTCTTACCCACTGGACCACCAGGGAACTCTCATGTATGTAATTACTCTCAAATAGCAACAGCTAGTAAAATCAGTGGACATGGCACATTTATATGACTGATATGTTTGCATTTTAATAGACGGTATGAGCCAGGACACCTATAGGATGGCCCTTGATGATCCCCACGTTCTATTCTTCACCCTACGTATACTACTAGCAAATAAGATAACAGCAGAGGCAGTGGGCTATATCTTCCCAGAAGAGATTACAAAGAGACTCCAGCTTCTAGGGCTGGTGCTCTCTTGATCTCTTGCTTATTTTCCCTGAGCAAAGCCGGCTGCCGCTGTGAGTCACTCTATACAGAAGCTCATGGCCAACAATTGTGTGAATGAGCTTGGAAGTGGATTTTCTCTCAGTTGGCCTGGAAGACTGCAGCCCCAGCCAACACCTTGACTATAGCCTAGTGAGCTGCCCTCAGCCAGAGGTACACAATAAAGGCTGTGCTTGGCTTCTTAACCAACAGAAACTTTGGGAAAATAAATGTTTTAAACTGCTAAGAGATAAGAATGTATCATATAACTATTGTATCTCCAACTAAATAGTATATAATAAAATCACATTAGTACAATTACCCTATTATGAAATACTAAATTAGCTAGTATAATATGTATGTTCAGTTGCTCAGTTGAGTCTGACCTTTTGCGACCTTCTGGACTGTAGCCCACCAGGCTCCTCTGTCTACGGAATTTTCCAGACAGGAATACCAGAGTAGGTTGCCATGTCCCTCTCCAGTGGATCTTCCCGACCCAGGGATTGAACCTGCATCTCCTGCACTGGCAGGCAGATTCTTTACACTGTGCCACCTGGGAAGCCCTAGCTAGTATAATATGTTGGCTATTAATATATACTAGTTTAATACACTAGTTTTAATATACTAGTGTTAATGTACACTAATGTTCATGGAGCACTTACCATATGCTAGGCACTGTGTTAAAAACTGTGATTGGGCTACATAAATTAAATACATCCTTTTGAAATTATTCATTCATAGGAAAGCATAGAGAAAAGGAAGGAGAGAGAGAGAGAACAGAAAAAAGAGGGTGGGAGAAAGAAAGAAATCACACAGAAACCATAGAATCACCTTTAATATTTACTTTCTATCAAGATTTACTAGGGACTTCCCTGGTGGTCCCGTGGTTAAGACTCTGCTTCCAAAGCAGGGGATGCAGGTTTGATCCCTGGTCAGGGAACTAAGATCCCACAATCCTTGTGGCCAATAAAATAAAATTAAAACTAAAAAATCAAAGAAGGCTTTCTATAATTTAGTACTACAATTTACTTGAAATGTAGAAAATCTTATGAGCTTCCATAGAAAAGAATTAAACAACTGAAACATCTAGTTTGTAGTAAAGAACCAAAGGAATTTGTTACTTTGCCTGGAGCAGAAAGCCTGAGAGAGGAATTTAATAATTTTTTAATGTATACTATTTTGAGGATTTTGGTAGCTTCATATTTATCACTTCCCACAAAAATTAGGACAGAATAAAAGTGAACTTCTTTTGGAGGTTAGTTTAAATGATATCTTGGAGAGATTTCCTGAATATAAGGCCATGAATAATTTTCATTTAATCAGTCAACAGACTTTCTATACTCCAGCCATCCTGTTAATATGTAGTTGGAATAGAACAGAAATAAAACAGATATTGTTTTGCTTTTATATTGCTCACAATATTTTCTAAGGAAAGTTCTAGAAATTCTTTGGGATAGTGGAGTGATTTGATGTTGAGGTATTTCTAGAAATAGAAAAATGGATTGAATGATTAGTAAAAGTTAGACCTGAATCTCATGACAGGAAAATTGGAATTTGCTTGTTTTGGGGTTTTTTTTTTAATTAATATAAAAAATAAATTATTTATTCGTGGCTGTGCCGAGCCTTCTTTGCTGGGCGGGCTTTCTCTAGTTCTGGTGAGCGGAGGCTCCTCTCTAGTTGCAGTCTGCAAGTTTGTCGTTGCTGTGGCTTCTCTTGCTGTGGAGCAGGCTCTAGGCATGCGGACTTCAATAGTTGCAGCTCTGGTGCTCTTAGAGCACAGGCTCAATAGTTGTGGTGCACAGGCTTAGAGGCATATGGCATCCTCCCAGTTCAGGGATCAAACCCACGTCTCCTGCATTGGTAGGCGGATTCTTTACCACTGAACCATGAGGGAAGTCCTGAAATTGGCTTGTTGTTGGGTTCACCCGCACCCCTTGCATGTTCTGGTATAAGTGAAGGGGGGCCATCAGAGCTGTCCTGAGATGGACTTCTGGGTTGGGCAGAGGTACAAGGCTATCTTTCTTATCTTGAACCTTGATAATCTTTGCATTTGAAGATCTTTCTCCCTAGTTCCCATAAGAGTGAACTTTAACAAACCACACCAAAACTTAAGGTTTTGAAAGAAAAAAGTTTATTATTTTCCATGATTTTGTACATCGATCAGGCAGTAAGTCTGCTTGACATGGTGTTGGCTGAAAAACCCCAAATGGTCTCACTCATGGCTCTCTGGTGCTGGCTGCCCATGGAAACGAGCCTCCGATGGGGCTGCTGGCGAGTCTCAGTTCTCATCTGTGTCGTATCTACAGCTGACTCACTTGGGCTTCTGACAGCATGGTCTTGGTGGAGAGAAGAAACATCCCAAGAGGCAAAGGAAGAAGGTGCAGATCTCTTAGGATCTCCCTCACTTTGTTTTCAGTTTTTTTATTTTTTGGCTATGCTGCTGGGCATGAGAGGGCTTCCCTCGTAGCTCAGTTGGTAAAGAATCTGCTTGCAATGCAGGAGTGAAGTGAAGTCACTCAGTCGTGTCCAACGTTTTGCGATCACATGGACTGTAGCCCACCAGACTCCTCCATCCATGGGATTCTCCAGGCAAGAGTACTGGATTAGGTTGCCACTTCCTTCTCCGGGGATCTTCCTTACTCAGGGATCTAACCCGGGTCTCCCGCCTTGTAGGCAGATGCTTTACCATCTGAGCCACCAGGGAAGTCTGCAAAGAAGGAGACCCGGGTTCAATCCCTGGGTCGGGAAGATCCCCTGGAGAAGGAAATGGCAACCCACTCCAGTATTCTTGCCTGGAGAATCCCATGGACAGAGGAGCCTGGCGGGCTACAGTCCATGGGGTCGCAGGAGTCGGACACAACTTAGGAACTAAACCACCACCAGGGTATGAGGGATCTTAGTTTCCCGATGAGGAATCAAACCCGTGTCCCCTGCAACAGAAGCATGGATTCTTAACCACTGGGCCACCAGGGAAATCCCAGGTCTCAGCCTC